TTCGCGTGCCTTTGTCCGGCGTGACCTCGGGATGTCTGTCTGTCTGGATGACAAGGGTGGTGGCTCACGTGCTCGACCATCCTAACAGTATTAAAACCTTCCTCTTGCTGGAGTGAGTTCGAATCTCATCGAGGACGCCGAGATTTTCAAACTTAAATCGAAGGATGGGTACTGGTTCCAGTGCCCACTTGCTTTTCAACGTGGTCACCTACTCTGCGCGCCAATACTCTCTTGAGTGTCGTAGTATCTCACAAAAAGTCCCAATCTCGAGTGCCATTTAGTCGACTCTAATGTTTAATCGGTTCGACTATTGGCTTATTTTGCTTCGCTCTGACACTCTGCCATCCTATAAAATGTTTTCGCTTAGACTGATTAAAGAAGACAGACCATCCAAAACAGCGACCAATGATAGACTAGTTTTCAAAAGTATAAGCTGGAAATCAAATCAATTATTTGCAATTAGTCACATCTTACTTTTAGAAGTTTAATATTCCTCTTTTTATTCACCCTTCTTGTTATTTGATTATTCTAGGTGCTCTTCAGATCAGTGGCAATGATGGTGCCCGACTATGCATTAATCGGCGAGATTTCGCTTTATTCCATGGGTTTTGTCCTCGCCAAAGCGTAAGTCATAATCTGATGGAAAACGTAACATCTTCGCCTCATAATAAGCATTGGTCTTTAAGTATACTAAGAATCTTGCAAGGATTTTAGCTCCTTTTTATATGAATGTTCTTATTAGCGGTCACTGGTGCAATGAGTGCTTACTCCATAGTCAGTATGTAGACATGTGCCTAATCTAATTGCGTGTTGACTGGGGGGCTTCGATGGACTGCTGGCTTTTGGGGATGAGGAGAGTCAGTGGGATGGATTTTGGGAAATCGTTCCCCATGGCAAATCTGTATATGCATCTCTAATGATTAATATGATGTCTTTAGCGGTCTGTTTTATTAATTACTTGTAAGACTGTCAATATACTTCTAGCTGGATAGACTTACAAACGTGCTATTATTATCCAAATGTTAATCACTATTTCCTCACACTGATTAGGGGTGCATACTGGGTGCGACTCTTTAAACGCACACACAGGTAGTACTTACAGTATACTACCTACTGGCCTTAGTAAGCATGATAACTATAAATTATCACTTTAGCATAGGCACGTACCTATAGCAGAAGTATCTTAGTCCGTAACTAGCAGAAACGTACACGGCTCGATGGATCGAGTTGAGAATGCGGAAACCAAAGCAAATGCTGCTGTGCTCAGGACCCCAAGCGTGTACTTACCCGAAATAGCTAAACCCAGAGTCACACTCCTTGTTTGAGACCAAGGGGATATGAGCCCTAGCGTTGGCTAAATCAGCGTCACCTGC